TCATGGTAATAAGACTCAGAACTGTTGGAGGAGAAAGGGGTGGGGATGGATACAAGCATCTCAAAAACCACCAGAATACTTGATTTCTTCATTGGTAGCCACCAGACTCATCAAAGATACTGACTAGCCTTGAAGATGGTCCTTCATTATTGAGGGAGAAAGAGGCACAGTACAGATTATGAGCTCAAATCGATTGGTAAAGCATGCTGCTGCCATTACTCCCCATGCCATGCATTACCTGTCCTGCAGTAAAATAGATCCCGTCTCTGAGGCTGCTGGCCTAGCATCAAAGTCCTGTAGAAATATTTCACAAAAAGGAAAAAAATATACATAAGCAGTTTCACCAGATCTGAATGATAATTATTTCCTGTAATACCCAAAGCTTGCCTCTGAAATTATCATTTGGAACAAAAATATTTTGCAGCATTCACAGGTCCTTGCAGGTGGACTATACTAAAGGAAACTGCTGAGGTAAAACAGGCATTCTGTCACTTTTAAAGACAAGATCAGTAAGTTTATGACAAGTGGAATTAAATTATACAAAATTAAAAACAAATCTTAATGTGAAGTAAAGCATGTCAGGAAATCTAGACTTCTCTCCTGCTTTAGATTCACAGAACTTACCTGGTTGAACTCCATTTGCTCCTCAGGTAAGCTCAATTCTGCTACCACAGCTAGACTGGGAGAGAAGTGCTTGAAATAATAAAAGTACAGGGATGAGGATAATAACTAACTGGGGACTGATTTCCTTTCCTTTGCCCATATTCCACATTCCTCAGAACCCTGGGTTTATAGATGTCAAAAGCATTCACTTGATTGTCCTTTCTCAACATTTTTTGTTTGCATATGTCAAAAGGATATGCTTGTCCTTTCTCAACATTTATTTGTCCCATGACAACCAGTTTAATGATTCACCTTTTGCCAATGAGTTGTCTGGAAAAGCTTCACACAGAAGAGGATGTGTGCTTTTAGCAGGGGAGGAAGGATGGGTGCACTATGAGGAGTCAAGAGAACCCAGGAAGCAAACTAAATGAGGTCAAAAGGCACGGAAGCAAAGATAACTGAAATGCTATTATCAGAGATGGTATTATTTACTACACTCATAATATCATTTCCCCATGACGGAAGTCAAAGTGGTGTGTGGTTTCAACTTGTCTCCCATTCAAATACTACTCAGTACACACTTGCTTAGCTTCAGTAAACTGCCTGCATTTAACCTTTAAAGACTTGTACACACAAGATCACAAAAAGTTAATGGGCATAAAATAATGCGGAACTTGACAAAAAAAAAAGAATCAAACATGAAATGTCTATTTCAGAAAGTGACCAGTGTGAGGTGGACAGAAAATTTCACATTGAAATCATTCGGCTGCCCATCTGTAACTTAGCAGGAGAAAAATGTTTAAAATGTGTTCTTGCAACCTAGAATGAAATAATGAAGGGTGACTATATTTACATCCATGAGGGATGAGCCTTTCTTTAAGCGACATCTTTATAGGGGGCTATTGCTCAGAGGGTAGTTGCTTGCAGCAGATTGAAGAGATTACCCGTTTTGTTTATTTTTTTGAACATTTTCAGAGAACATTTCCTTTTGAGACAAAAAGAGATGAGCATGCTTGCATTTCTTGTGTGTGTGTGTGTGTGTGAGTCAGGAGCGACTTGAGAAACTGCTGATTACTTCTGGTGTGAGAGAATTGGCCTCCTGCAAGGACATTGCCTGGAGGACACCCAGATGTTCTACCATTCTTCTTTCATGTCCCTGCATGAGAAGCTGGAGCTGACAGACTAGAGCTCACCGTGCTCTTGATTCGAATTGTTGACCTTTCGGTCAGCAGTCCTGATGGCACAAGGGTATAATCCACTGTGCCACTGGGGTCTGTAAGGCTGAAACATTGCTCTTCCAAGCTTCTCAAAGTTACCCCTTTGTTACATCTCAATTACTGCAATGCACTTTACATGGTTCTTCCCATGAAGTGTTCAGAAGCTGCAAGCAGTGCAAAATCCAACAGGCAAACTGGTGTCAAGATGTGCATTTTAAAAACTAAATGACACATACCCTGCAAGAACTACACTGGCTTCAAATTTGCTTCCAAGTTCAAGTCAAGGTGGTGATTTTGGTTTGCAAAGAACTAAATGACTTGGGAACAAAACTTCTAAAAGACTGTATCATCCAATATGAGCCTTTTTTTTTTAAAAGAGATTTTTCAGATGAGGCCCTGCTGTATGTCCCATGAAGCTAGATGGGTAGGGACGTGTACTATCTAGCCGTGTGATTGTGGAACTCCCTACCCAATGAAGTTGAAGTGACCCTAACTCCTTTAAGTGTCTGTCCGGCAGCTAAAACATTGTTGTTCCATTTGGCATTGAATATTTTAAATTACCATTTTAACTGTTTACTTCCAAAAACTTCTGGGGGGTGTTTAATATAAAGAAAATATATAAAGAAGTAAACCAAATATGAATACCTGGTGACTCCTTTTAGGGGACATTTTTGTATGTCTGCCTGCCCCCCCCCCTCCCCAAATATAATTGAGATAGGAATTGGACTCAGGATTTAGTGGCATTGCCTATCACTTCAGTGATGAACTTTTTTAGTTCATCATTAGAACAAATGTAATGAATCAATGAGATTTGCGTGTGTTGACTAAGCATTGAGCCACTAATTCAATCCTACTGGAATCAGCAGAACTAGAAATTTTGCATTTTTGTTAAATAAAAGTAGGAGTAAAAATAGGGGGAGGTATCCTGTTGATCTCCCTGGGTTTCTCATTGACCCTGGTATCTTCTTGGACTAGTTATGTGGGATAGGAGTAGGAAGCACTGCTCTACTGTGATTCTACTCCTAACAGACCAATTCCGAAGATTCCTGTCCAGCTCCATGGCTTTTCTGCTCTGGGGTGCCACAGGGTTCCAACTTGTGCCTTCAAGGCCCCATGAGTGATGTCATTGAGGCTTTAGCACTGAGTGCCATCAGTATGATGATGACACTCAGCTCTATTTTATGTTCTCAGTCAGCTAGGGCTATGCAGGATCTGTCCCAATGTCTAGATTCTATAATGGGTTGGAGGAAGGCCAGTAAACTGAATCTATCAATATGATGGGGGGCTCGTGGATTGGTGGCTCTTGAGTCTGAGAAATGGACAAACAACCTGTCCTAGATGAGGCTGAATTTTGCCTGAGGGAACACTCAATAAATCAAATTTAAAAGAGCACTGGGCTACAGGATGGATAAAAAGGTTTCATCAGAATAACAATAATAAACTGTATTTATATACCGTCCTATCTTCTCGAAGGACCTCAGGGCAGTCAAGGAAAGGGGGTGGAGGCAAGTTGTAGTGAATGGACTGGATGCTATTATAGAATCACAGAATAATAGAGTTGGAAGAGACCACATGGGCTATCTAGTCCAACTCCCAGCTATGCAAGAAAAGCACAATCAAAATATCCCTGACAGATGGCCATCCAGCCTGTTTAAAAGTTTCCAAGGAAGGAGCTTCCACTATATTCTTAGGCAAAGAGTTCCACTGTTGAACAGCTTGTACGGTCAAGAAGTTCTTCCACATGTTCAAGTGGAATGTACTCCCCTGTATTAAAAAAAAACTGCCACTCACCAATGGTTTCCCCATTACCACATCCAGTAGCTAATATGTTGTGTGGAGAAGTGCAAGGAAGATGGAGAGATCCAGAAACTACATCTAGTTTACAAATTGTTGGTTTGCCAGTTATATGAAACAAATTGTCACCACTTCACAACATGGTGTTGGCAGAAAACAAACTTTCCTTTGCCATCTTCACCTTAAAATCCCCCCCCCCCCAAAAAAATAGCTATATTCTGTGGGCAAGTGGATATGCCCTGTATTTATATTGCAGCTGTTGTTTGATCACACAAGCATTCCTATTATACTTGTGTACATGGACGTGTTATTTCCTTGTCAAGCTTTTGTTTACAATCTGAAAAGAGAGGTGCAAGTATTTAATTAATTTAGGTTCCACCTTGCTCCTGACACCAGGCCCAATGGGGCCTCTCGAGAGAGAAAAAACATTTTTTAATTTGATGACAATTTAAACTTTTCTCTTCTACCTCAACCCAATCATTCTTTAGCATTGCTCCAAAGGTTGCTGTACCCATGGAGTTCCTGCTCTTATAAATTGTGTGCCCATCTTACAACCTGGAAAGAGAGGAACACTGTAGATAAAATAAAACATCAAGCAGTACAGTCATCCACAGAGCGGGAAACTGTGGCAGATCCAGGGTTTGCATTTTGTCTCTCGAATCCCCCAAGGGAGCCCTAAACGCGTTCTGGAAATTCCCTGGAAGAGAACGGAATTCTACAGGATGAGGCAGCAGAACTTCCTTTTTAAAAATGCGTGCCATTCAGTCGGTTGAAGATGTAGTGGAGCGCTAGTGGTCTCATTCGAGAGGCGGGAGTATAAAGTTTTGTCCTGACACAGTTCAGTCGCCATCATGCGTTGGGACAGTGAGGAGTGTGCTTTTGCCGTTGAGGCCTACTTTTCGAGCGGATTTGGAGTGGCCGGCCTGCTTTCCAGATTTGGCCCCTTGTGATTTTTTCTATGGGGTTTTTTGAAATTCTGTGTTTATGTGAACCGTCCAAGGACCCTACAAGATTTGAAGACCAACATCCAGGAAGAAATTGCCAACATAACGCCTGCTATGCTGGCAAGAGTCATGACAAACGCCAGAAATCTGTTTACTCCGTGTATGGAGAATGAGGGATGTCACCTACTTAATTTGATCTTCAAAACTACGTAAAACAAAACTTTAGGTATGTGCCTATATTATAATTTTTTTTCTAATTCATACAATGGGTTTTTATTAAGTTTTGAAAAAAGAAAGTTATGCTGCCCCACCCTGTATTTCTGTTTTTGAAAAGGGAGGGACTGAACCCAAGATAGGCCACTGCTCTAAGGGGCTTCCAAGAGAGGCTGGCTTGGGAGCTTGGAACTTTCAAAGACAACAGAAACAACTCTGGAGACCAGACTTTGCTCACCTATCACACATGCCTACCTAAAAATGAGTAACAGGATCTTTTCTAAGGTGCTCCAATACATTACATTACATTTATTTAGTGTCAAAAGCATTGCATAAATAAGTATAAAACTGATAAAAATAGAGGGAACACAAATGGTTAAATGATTTTTGACCAGAAACAGGCAACAGCAACTGCATTGTCTGTAGCTTTAAACAATTCTTCTGTGCATGAGGCAGGGCATTTGGGCAAGCATACAGATGCGGAGTTATTTGTTCTGCTCCACAGTCACACAAAGTGGAAGATTCTTCTAGGTAGTGCCATTTTGCCAGGTTGTCTTTTGATCTGCCCACTCTGCTTCTAAGTCTGTTCAGACACTTCCAAGTTGCCCATTCTTGGTTTGCCCCTGGAGGAAGACCCTCGTGGGGAGTCACAGTATTCAACCTTGTTTCTCTCATAGTCAGAAGCAACTTCCTGTTGCACATCTTGGGGGGGGGGGCAATGGTAACTAGCTTGTAGAGTTTATCAACAGGTGTATGTTTAAGACATTCTGTGATTTTTTGTGTGTGTCAGGAGCAACTTCAGAAGCTGTAAGTTGCTTCTGGTGTGAGAGAATTGGCCGTCTGCAAGGAAGTTGCCCAGGGGACAATGCTTTGTGGGAGGCTTCTCTCATGTTCCCACATGGGGAGCCGGAGCTGACAGAGGGAGCTCATCCGTGTTCTCCCCAGATTCGAACCTGCGACCTGTCGGTCTTCAGTCCTGCCTGCACAAGTGTTTCACCAGTGGAATAATAATCCTGTGATTATTCTGCATGTTTCTATCAGTGTTATGTTCATCTGCTTTGCGTGGATAGACTTGTGTCAAACAGGACAGGCATATTTGACAGTTGAGTAAGACAAGGCCAGGACTAATGTTCTTATTAATTTTGGGTCTGCTTCCCATACACTGCCAGGTTTCTGCAGGATGTTATTACGTGCAGCTACTTTGTACTTAGTGTTCATACAGTGTTTCCTAAATGTTACTGTTCGATCTAAGATGACACCAAGATATTTAGGATGGAAACAGTGTTCAAACTCTTGGCATTCCCAGGTAACTTTAAATTGCTTTTAAGCATTTTAAATTACATGCACTGTGATCAAAGAACTTGTGAATGTTACACAATGAACTACACAGGGATGTTCTGTCATAAGACTTTTTAGAACTATGAAGAGCAAATAATTTCTACCTGAAGCATATTCATAATTTCATTGTATCTCATAACCTGACCGAAGGCGTGCTAATCAACAGTGAAGAGCTGAAGAACCACAGTGTGCTTTTCAGAGGAGCAACACCAATCTTAGCTCAGTTTATCTTAAACAGTGTATAGAAATCTCAAGGGTTATCTTGTTCTAGTCATAAATATAGTCAGGCTCACATATGTCTCAGCACCAGTAAATTGTCTTCATTGACTGAAATTTTCCACAAGTGGAATCAATTCTTTTTAGTATCACAGCATCAATTTATGTATATGAAAACTGAATAAAATATACAAGGATGTCTTCAAATGACAGATCATGGTCAGCCCATATCTAAGATGCATTTTTCTTATGGTAGAGACTCTTAAAAATAGTTAAAATCTCAGTGGATTCTGTGTCACAGATTGACTCTGATGTGGTGTCATGCAGTAACTATAATTAGCCAGTAATTAGAAACCCTATTTTGTAGTCATTGTTTGTACAGCTACTAGTTTCCAATGTGTGCCATGCTTGGTGTTTCAAGAGATAATAGTACACTTATCTGTATGAACAATCAGAGAACCAAAACATTTTTAAATTATCAAGTGTTGAAACCACACATACTTCTCATTTATTCCTGCAAATTAATGAAAGATTCTTCCCAATGAGCTCAATTTTGTTCACAAAGCACTGCTCTCCATAAATGAGTGATCAGAGGTGGGCCAATGGCTTTATGGTGCCAAATCTTTCTTGAAAATTTTGAGAATCTGACCACAAGGTCGATTTTCAGATTCTGTTTAGATTTATAATCAAATTTCTCATGCATATTTGCCTTAAAGCAATTGAGAAGTGATTTTGGAGGAAAAGTAACTCCCTAATGAATTAAAGGAAGTACATTGTGTAGCATTTTTGGAAAGGAAGTGTTTCATGTATTTAGAACAAGGTGGTGGCTAATACAAAGCAAGAGTCGGATGAACAGCTTAGTACAGTTCCTTGGTGAAATAGTGTCACAACATCAATGAACTCACACAGCTCTCCATAATGGCTTTTAGTCAGCATTCAAGATTAAGCGGTTTAGCGATGTTAAAACATCCGTTATGGTGGATAAGAATTGACCAAGAATCAGACTCACCAAGCAGATTGACAAGTCAGGGAAGCTGCCTCTCATCTTTGCACGTTACATCAGCTAATGTTTTGGAATCCATCTCTCCCCACATGGCAGCATTCTCAGTTCACGGGTGCCATCTGCATTAGTGTCTTCTTCTGCTGCCACCTACCAGTTTTATTACTCTGTTGCAGCACAAGGGTATATAGAGAAGTTCTTGTTCAGCTCACAGAAAAATGATACAATGGGGATCCTTTTAAGGCACCAAGGCTTATTCCAAGATTTTCCCCCGCATCCTCCCCCATACCCTTAACAAAAGCAGTGGACAGAAGAAAACCGAGTAATGATTGGATGCCTTTTGGAAGTCATCCATGTTGATAGAGCTATATGGATAAAGGAGTGATTAAATATGGAGATTTAAATGCCCTCAGGTATTGTACAGAGAAAAGTGTACAACATTGGTTGGATTGAATTAAATTAATCTAATTTTAATGTAGTACTTCTAGTGCGCTATTTAATTCTGTCTTCTGCTCAGGTACATAGTCATGAGCCAAGAAGAACAATACAAGATCAAACAAACTTTCTGAATGGACAGGTCTCACAGCGATAATCCTTTGGTAGTTGTGGTGATGGAGAGTGACAAAAACACACCCCTCCCCCCAATCCTTTGTTTTCAACACTGCTGGGCACCCTTTATTGTAAAGGATCCTTTTACAATATTTCTCCAAGTATCTGCTGCTTCAGTACCACCTTTACTCCCTCTTAACCAGAGACTAAACACAGAGTCTGGTACCAGAAACAGCAGGAAATGTCACCTTTACAGATATAAAGAAAGAGGAGGAACACTTGTTTCCAGAGCTAGTCATATGACTATATCGAACAGGGAGAGGGAATGTTAGAGATCTCACTAAGGATTACTTTCTTCAATTGCCAGTTCAAAAGAGATTTATCAAATTATCAACAGCACAGCATTTTACCTTTTTAGTCTATTTGCAAGTAAAAAGAGACTTATTTGCAAGTCAAAAAAGATTTCACCAGTCTCCGTGAAGTAGAAAAATGCTTGGAAACTGATCAGTGGGAAAAGGGACACAAGACAGAGGTGTCCTCCATCAGCAGAATTAATGCAGACGTTTCTGCCCTTTTAAACATGTTATGCCTGTGTTGTGTACAGAGGAAAATTACAGAAGAGATAACCACACCTAAGCAACTCCCTCACCAGATGAAACAAAGCAAAAATTTTTTGACAATACTGTATATGTGTGTTACATATAGAGGCGAATCACAAGGGGGAGTGGTGCATTTGGTGAAAGACTTGCAAAATTGATACCATTTGTTCAAAAAGTGTCAATGAGGCAACCCCATTTGGTATGGCAATCAATACACAAGTATCAACACAAAGAAGTAAAACCTTGCCAGTGACTTGAAGAGAAAAAAATATTCTCCCTTTAGTATACCTGAGAAAGAATTTAGCATTGTTTTAAAATATATCCCCACTAACCATTTTAAAATGTAATACTGCATTAAACTAGCTAAGGAATATTTTTGATCAAGAAAGTCTGAACACAAAATAGAAAACAATTTAGGCTTAACAGCATGCTAGAATAATTATCTTTTTGTTGCATTAAGAATACTCAAATAATTTGGGGATTTTTATCTGAAGCATTTGTTATTCCCAATGAATTCGTTCTTCGGCCAGTTCTTGTATTGCTACATAAAACTCTCTGTTAATACACCATTTTCTAAGCATAATCTTAGTCATTAAATATTTGCAAAGTACTATGCTAGGCAGCAGGTTAAAAATGCCACAATATGCTCACCTTCACAATCTTGACAAAGAAACCATCACACTCCAACCTGCCCAATTCAAGTATCTTTTATATACAAATTTTTTACACCTAGTTTTTCATACCTGTTATTAATTGATGTCGATTAGTTTTGTGCTGTGCCCCTGGAAAGCACCAAAGCCCTGTAGAAACTTAAGCCAAGAATGTATATTTTGAGTACGGGCGGGATAAATGAAAAGGGGGAGTGAGGAACATAGAAGAGTGGAGATGGTAGTATTTATGGAATTACATACCATCCCTTCACCCCTTTCTAATAATACATGCAGTTTAATTTCATTCTTACCATTAACACATTTGAATATATGGATCTAGAAGTTTTATTAAAACCTGGCTCTAGTAGAATAATAAAACACACACACAAAAGAGCGGAAAGGGGTCACTGTGCTTCCTAGGACTCTTTCTTTCAGTACAGCAGTCTTATTAAGACTGGAGAAGAGAAGAAATTAAAGTTAGAAAACACGGGACGATCAAAAGAGCTGAAAGTTACCTGCCAACAGGTCGGTACTGGATGCCACCAATCTGCTGCGTTTACTGTTTTACCACAGGGGGGAAAAGTTTAGGGAAGAACATTCTCAAGGATTTTTCACAAGGTTTCTCTCTTGCCATCAGAAAGGGGAGAAGGGAAGTTTTTCTCTGGATTGTTTGACTTTTTTTGACTCCTGAAAAGTTTTGCAAAGAACAGTAAGAAAGTGTGAATTGTTAGAAAAATATGGAAAAGGGGGATAGCAGTATATTCACATAATAAAACACTTTTAATTAAGTTACAAACTCCCACGGCCCCAAAACATCAATTTATTAGCAGTGCATTAAACAAAAGTCATTCAACTGAAAACTGTAACATGAGCTATGGAATATTCCAACAGTGATCCATACCACCATCAGAACATTCCAGAAATCACCCTCCAAGGTCAGAGAAATTCAAATAAAAAAGAGAAAACAAAAGAGAAAAGGTAATGTTTTGTTATAAATCCTACAATACTTTAGAAATTCCTAGAACAGTGAAAAATTATAAATAAAAGAGACAGTAGCAGCAGAGGTTACCTGTCCGAGCACCTACAATTCCATAGAGAGAACAGGAGTGGGTCGTGAGTCTCACACCAGCCAAATAGCTCAAAAACCTTCTCAAAAAGAGTGAGCCATGAGAAAGAATTGTACATGTTGATACACATTTCAAAGTTTAAGCCCTTACACATTTAACTAACTTGGGCTCTTCTCATCTCGAAGGCTTGTAACTTTAAAATAAGTCATCCTAGATGATGAGTCTACTGAGTGTCCAGTGCAGCAGTAGTGTCTTTTTTTAAAGCATTGCAGGTCCAGAGCACTCTTCTTAGTAGATCTTCTGTGTGATCCATTGCTGGGCAAAGTCAGTATGATACAATCACATAATTTGGACATGGAGTGCAAACCAACAACAGAAGTAGTCCAGGAACATGCTGTGTTTTACATCATGTATCACAATATTCCAGAATGTCAGGAAGATTTAAAAATGTATAAATGTTTTTAGCACATTACACCATAAAAGATCTGAAAATATACAAAGCTGTAAACATAATCTGCAATTCTGTACAATACAAAATTCATATATATCATAATTTGAACTGCAAAAATTGCCATATATATAAAAACCACATGGAACTTGATCGAACTCCATCATCATTCCAATCCTGAGGAACAGCTTCCAGTGTAATGATGTGTTCCAGCACTGCCTGTGGTGGCACTATGGTTTCTGGCTTAACAATGGTTTATTTCAACATAATTTCCAAACTTTGGTGAGCAATGTTGCTTTGTAATGTATTTGTGTGAAGCGAATATTATTGGGGACATGGCAACATATAGCACTACTGTGCATGGAAGCTATATTCTGTTTAAGAGCACAATCCATTTTCCTTACCTAATAGAGTTCTCATGTTTTTAAAACTTTCTTCCACAACATGATTCAACTATAGCTATAATTGGAAAAGTAAGGGAGAGATCTACTATCCCTGTATGGTATCTTCTGTGAACTTTGGATAAGAATTGGCAGCTTCTGCTTACATAAAATGTGAGGCTATGCTTCACCCACAGATTATCCAGTCTTTTTTTGAACACAATGCACAACGAATCGGTGATCATCTCATGAGAAACAGATAAACCAAAGTATGAAAAGGATTTCATGTTTTGTGTTTTTCAGTAAGTGGTTGTTTGTTTTAAAACATTCATTGCATTTATTATACTGTAAAATAATTCTAGGAACTGGGGGTGGGGAGTATGAAGTGGCAATGAGTTGCCAAAACCTCTTTTGTTCCACCAATATAATAACATAACATAGCCTGAAATTAGAACTGTCAGAGTTACCAGCTCCTTCTTGGACTCAATTTTTGTGGGTTTTGTGTGTGTTCTGTCTGCTAAAACAGTTATTTCTTGTTGACACTCCTAAAAGATGTTCAGTGTTTAAACTAATAATGGGAGAAAAGATCCAACTGGGTTTTCATGAAATCTTGTATTTAAAAGACACGCATGTAGATAGCAGATAGCTGAAGCACCACCAAATCATCCTTTGCATCTTATACTTTTTGCTTCAACAGCTAATGCCAACATTCAGCCTTCAGTTGGATTTTAATAATGAAAGTGATAATAGTATTTTTAATGTTACAAAAAGCTGCAATTACATTTTTAAAACAAAAAAAAAAGCTGTACAAATAGGCATAATCAAACCTTCATGAAAGCAGGTTAACATTTTTCTGTTTATTGTCTCCTGACGTCTCGTTGCGTAGTGTCCATACATTGTGTATACTTAAAATCCAAGTGAGAGCAAGACAGTCAGAAGGAAGAAGAGGCCAGAGGGACGAAGCTCAGAGCCTTGGGGGGCAGGAGAGACATGCCGCTCTGAAGCCTCCAGAAAAAAGCAGCTTTGCATACACAAGCTGCTCACCTTTCAAAAACTTTTCATGAACCATTTTCTGTTGCAAACATTTTAATTGGTGGTGTCTGGATGCGGTTTCTAAAGTAATAGAATTTGTGTTTGTATTTCTCTATCATGTCAATGCTGTATATACCCCAAAGAAAACAAAGAGAGTGAGAAATGGGTGAGGAGGAGGAAGATGAGGCCATTAAAACAGATCCAAAGCTGCTGTTTTGGTTCTTTTATCAAATTTAATAAGAAAATGCACAGCCAGAAGTATCAGGTCAGGGGGGTTTGGGAGAGGAGATCATCAGGCATTCTGGAAAAAAAGAGTTGACGAACTGGACAGACAAAACCAATGACAAAACAAAGCAAAATACAGACACATACATAAGAGCCTGAGATCCACATATCTATGGCCTTAAATTATAATCCCATTCTGGCTGGGCCTTGGTGGCAAAGTATTCTGTGTTTGTTTCCCCAAACCAAAAACTGCATATTTCTCTTCAGAATTTACCTTTAAGAAATCAGGCTACTTTAGATTTTAATGTGTTGTATATAGAAAGTTACTAATAAAAGTAGTAACATATTTTATCCAAAGTAGTTTTGAAATTTGCGATCACTTCAACCCTCCTCCACACCCCCTCCCACATTATTCTAGGTAATAGGGTTTTTTTCCTGTTCTTTGGGAAGTGTCTACTTGTTGCTGCTGTTGCTGTTAAATAGTGGTAATGTTAAATAATATGGGCATTTTAGCCAATATTGAAGATGCAGGCATGAAAGAAAGAAGTGTCGGATGAGTATGTATTAAAAATGACACAGTAACATAGTATTTATCTTGCAAAAAAGACTAGAACACTAACAAATACAAGTCAATGCACATTTGTTTTAAACTAGTGTTATTCTTTTTCACATTGGATTTAACATTATTTTGTACACCAAAAGTTAACAGTGCTGTTTATCTTTGCCTTTTGTGCAAAAGAAAACATGCCACTTCTGCCATCAATGAGCTAAGATGGAAGGAAATTTATACACGTCTTCCCCAGCCCACCCCAACCCACAATTTAAAATTGTTTTAAAAATCCACACACATAGTAAAACCTTTCTCCAAAGGAGAATAGCATTTGCTTTAAATATGCATGTATGGACACAACCTCAGCTATTAATACTGAAATGGCAGAAGTTGCAGGTTTGTCTCAAAACTTCATGCTGAACAAATAAATGCTGCCCAAGGACAAGACCTATGTGGCCAATATGAGCTGTTTCTCAAGGATGCAAGTTCTTACTTATTTCAGATGGGAAATTATGATATTTAGAACCTCTGTTGAAACAAGAATTGACTTCCCTAACATCTCTCAACGCTTATAGGACATAAAAAGGGTATATAAAGTAACCAAGAGGACTGAGCTCCAATGAGGTGAGGGGATGGTTGCAGATATATTAATTCACAGATGATGTTGGAGAAGTAAACTTTCCAAACTGTAAAATCACCCATCAAGCTAAAATATATCCCCGTGAACATGCTCTGCAATGGGTTTAAAGATCAAAGTGGCTTCCCTAATGAAAACAACAAGGTTTTAATTACCCCACCCCCAGCCCAGCACACCAATGCTTTTATAACAGGGAAACACCAATTGGAAATCGGTTGTCAAAAGTATCAACTAAACATATGTTCTGCAAGATTAATAAGTAGCATAAAGCAGCATTCACAGAACATGCGTGCTTTAATTTTGATCCCCAGGCTAACATCCTCCCCTCACCTCCATAGAGCTGCTTCTGATAAACAGCACTACAAGTTGGTTGTTTAAAAAAAAAGTACAAGAAAGTTGGTCATATTTATTTACATGTGGCATCACTCCACTAGCAGTTTAATCTCATTGGCTATTAGCTGGTTCATGTTGAATATGCCCCCTGGAAGCTTGGTGAGCAACTCTCTCTCTGTGGTCTCAGGGTCACTGTCGACAGAGCTGGAGCTGGCACTCATATTGTCGACAGTGGCGCTAGCTGGAGGGCCCAGCTCTGGCTCACTTGTCTCACTAGCCGTGGACACCACAGAGAGCAAAGACATGCGTCGTGTCAAGCGACCGGGGGGAAGGAGGGAAGCGGCATAGTCCGCTATGATACCAGCTACGTCAAGATTACAAGCCTTGTCAAAGGCAATGAAACCTACATTTGCATTGGCCTCACAGACGTAGAACGAGCCATCATCCTTCATTAGGAGGTCGATGCCACATACGTCCATCCCCAAAATATTAGACACTTGGATCGCCAGCTGCTTGCCTTGTTCACTCAGTGAGCACATCATTCCTATGCCACCTGACAACAAAAAACAGTTTAACAATTAGGATTAGGATTACTCCTTCCCCCCTCCCCCCATGCTGAACTATAGAACGACTGGCTATTCTTTTGCTACAGAGGGCCAGACTGCACAACTGTAACTGTAGTTTGTCACATGGTCACTTGTGAATCTGCACCTGTGCAGTAGAATTTTCAGAACCCTCTAGATCAGGCATGGGTAAACCCAGGCCCGCAGGCTCTTTTCTCCCGCCCTCGTCAGCCGACCACATCCCCAGACTGAGAGGAGAGCTGAGGGAGAGACACAGTTAGTAAGAGCTCTCCGGGGTTCTAGAGCAGGCATGGGCTAGCCACGTATCTCCTTCTCAGCCTGGGGACATGGTGGGCCCAGGAAGAGAAGGACCCTTCCCCTCTATGCGACCTACCCCCCTATCTTGCCAACATCCCTGCACCAACCACCCCCAGAAACTCCCCACCCCCCGCTCCCCTTCTTCTGAGCCCAGCCGCAGCCCCCACCAAAAATGTTTCCCCATGCCTGTTCTAGAACTATTACACAAAAGTTTTGGTGGTATCCCTGAACATCCTTGGGTGTTTTGCCCCTCATTTCCCATCTAAATGCTACGTTCCATGGATGTTGAAGCAGCAGTGTTCAAGGATCTAAGAAGAAGCAGGACATGATGAGGGGAAGATGGGCTGGGGCATGCATGAGTTTACAGGCGGCCATTCAAAGATCTACAGTTACAGATATGCAAACCATCCTATTTCTTCAAGGTCTCTGTGATTCACAAATATGGGAGACTAACAAGCTTCTAAACCTCAGAGAAGGGTGTGCTAAGCTGTAAAACAACTGTAAATCTCCCCAAAGTTACATCAGCCTGGCTGTGCAACCAGTCTACAGTGAGAAATGATGGTCAAGGGCTATGACCTCAAGGCTACTGTGCAAACTTCTTCCAATGATACCTCCTTGAGAAAGGCAGCTAACACAACCATAGTCCTCATAGAATGGCTACTGACATGGATTTAAGGATATTTTTTGGGCTGTTTGTAAGTCAAGTGGATGGACAAAACTATCTATTTTGAGAAATCCTGCAAAAAGACAGCTGGTCCTCTGTCAGCAGTTCTGTCCACACAGAAGGCAAATCTGACATCAAAGCAACGAAGTGCCCATTCCATGTCTAAAGTAGAGTCCTTCATCACTCGAGGCAATATAATGTCATGACTGACATGGAAAGCCAAAACCACCATGGGTATGAAACATCTAGCCTGAGAACCACCTTATCCTGATGAAACCAAAGATAGGGTTGATCCACTGAGGGCACACAGCTCACCTGCTTTCCTGGCAGACCAAATTGCCACTAAAAAGCTGTCTTCCAGGTAAGTAAGAAAAGCCAACAATATGCCATGGGTCCATGGGGCTATCTGAATAGTTGTAACAGCAAAATCACTAAACGACATTGACGGTTAATTGGAGACAGGCAATTGAAGCTTCTTGTAACCTTTGAGGAATTTCTTGACCATGGCATGATGAAAGATGATGGCTTTCTGATGATGAGGAAATTAGCTAAAATATCCAAACAGCATTTGATGGAAATGAAAAACAGAGAGACTTCTATCCAAAACAGAGGGAAGACACTGAACACAAGATGGATTCATGACTGAACCAGGGGAAAAAGAAATAAATATCTTCATTTTTTACACACAGGAGTATAAACATAGGGTCTATGCCATAATGATCTGCTGGATGGCATCAGGGAGTGAGGCTCGAGAAACATCTTCCAAACACTCAGCCTGAGAGTGTCCCAAGTTCACATTTCTCATCTGGCCATCATGAATTGTGGGGTATGGAAGCTTGACATGGTTGCCTTTGAACAGATGCCATGGGAGGCAAACAACTATCTGGGCCACCATGAAGTGATCATAATGCACCTCATCTCATCTCTTCAAATTTTGGATATTACACTGGTGAAGCAAGGAAACAGAGAAATGTTATACACAAGGCAGCCTACCCAATTTATAAACAAGGCATTATTGTGTACATAATTTCCCAACAAGCCCTCACACAAAAGATTTGACATTGGACATTCTAGGAGGTGGCGAAGGGATCCATTTCTGGACTGCCTCATACACTGAATAATATGCAAGACTAATAAGAATGATGTTGATAATGACGTTGAAATCTTCAAACAGATTTCAAAGGTATGAAATAGTTTCTCCATTGACAGCATCTTGAGGGTGATGTAAAGAACAGTTTCCTTGGGCTATCAATGTTGCCATAACAAGAGTCCTTCCATGTGAGCTCCCTATCAATGGAAGCATTGATTGTAACATCCACTATGAGTTGCTGAGGGAGAAAAGGTAGGCTAGACATAAATTGAATGGGATTGATCCACCACTCTAGAGTTCAGAGTCTTGAGATGCTGGTGAGGAGAATCCATAACAGATTGAAACAGGATAGCAAGGGATGCATTTTGAGTTTTGCCATCAGCTTTAGTGGAATGATGGAAGGGATGAATCTGAGGAGCAACTGAATAATTCTTGCAGACAGCCCAGGATTGTGCCAACAGCTCAACATCACTCGGAAGAGATTGATACCGTTTGTCTGGAAGGCCACTGCAGTATTAGAGCCTAGTATGACACTGATAAATTTTACGGACTGGGAGCTAAGACAACGTGTCCTAACAAATTGAGCAGATGGAGCATATCTATGTTGTTGAACAGTATATCTCAAGAACAGGCCATAAGTGCAGGTTGTTGGTTTAGGGAAACAACCTTTTGTTGCCTGAGCCAAGTAGTCAGAAACACCTTGTATTTTGTGAAGATCTGAGGAGCAGTGGACAGTCCGAAAGGAAGGATGTGAAACCAACAGACCCTCCTTCCCATATCAAAGCATAGAAAGTGTCTGTGAGATGGTCAACCACTTTGAGTCCCCTTGTGAAGAGAAAAAGAAGAATATAAATAAACAGAAGATGCCATTCTCAAAATAGATATCCTCGAAATCCAAAGTTGCAAACTCTTCCTCACAAACAATTTTCTTCTTGCAACAGGAGGAGGAGAGAACCAATAGAATCACTGAATTGGAAAAGACCTCATGGACCATCCAATCCAACCCCCTGCCAAAAAAGCAATATGGTTGCTATGTGAAAGTTGGTATCTTGAAGATCCAAGATTGGGCAAAGAGTTTAATCTTTCTTGGCCATGATGAAATAGGAGAAAAAGCACCACAGAAGCAATGATCTTCATATCAGTGTGACAGCACCTTTTTCGAGGATGTTTACTTCTTTTACAAGAGAGTTGGAAGGGATGTGGAATGCCACCAATGGGAGGTAGTCCCAAAACTCTGGATACCAGGCAATATCAACAATCCAGGTTACAGAGACCAATGCATGGTGGTAATGAGAACCATGGTTGAACAAAGGAAATGGAATCAGAAAGAGCAGGTGGAAAGATGCTGTCTGCCTGCTCCTGAGGCCTCTAATAAGACTGAAGACGATGCTTCCTTGAAGAGGCAGAGGTGTGTGATGAGACAGGCTGTGAGGATTGATAATGGGACAGTTGCAATGACATTGGGCTGAGGAAGTGTTTAGTGGCTTTTCTCAACCAGATCTGCACATCATATGCCTCACAGGCTGCTTGCATTTTTTCTAAGGATTTTCGGTGGCTCATGTAAAATGGAGATGACAGAAAGTAAACTGAAGAAGAAAACACAGAAGGGATGATGAAGTTAATTCTTCAGCCAAACAAAAGTCTTAGGTCTTGTGTGGCGGCATGGGTAGGTGTGGGGTAGGTCCCTTTCCTCCTCCTAGTGGCCTGACATTGTTCAAACATGGCAACAGTCCCGATTTGAAAGCAAAATTGAGTTCTCTTTCTCCCTTCACAAACTTGTGAAGAGTGCAAAAAAGGGGGCTACCAGAAAGAGAGCACAGTATTTATATTTCCATGGTAGTTCAAGTGGAAATACTGTAACACTGTAACAGCCCATGCCCCTATTACACACTATAGTGTTATAACACTATGATTCCACTTGAACTGCCATGGAAACATTCTGTGGGATCCTGGTATTATGAATGTAGTGTTATCTTGCAGTGCAGGCAGGAGCAAAAGGTTAACTTCCAAGCAAATAAATCACGAGAAGAATTCTTTGCAGGAAAAGCTGCCACTCAAATAATACTGTACTAAAATCCTTGATTAAGACTTGGGACATGTTCCTTCTGACATTGGGTGTGTAACAGGAATTATAAGTGCATCCATGCAGAAAAAGAACCACCCTAAGATCTCCAACCACACGCTCTCCAGATACACTTTGTTTACACACAATCCTCTGCCTTCACCTATGCGCACCCAACTAGGGCCAGAGTTTTTTTAATGGGTTTTCTTGGCAGGGCGGTAATTTTAAACTCTTCTAAACAACAAGCATGGTAAGCCCCCAGGCAAGAATTATAGTTTGCAACCTGGATGATAAGTGCTGAAATGGAGTAGAGCTTCTCAGCTTATTAGTTATGAAATACGATTTCCTTTTCTCTTTATCAGAGAGGGTAGTCTGTTTCCTCTGTATGGACTCTAAGTGCCATGCTTCAAACACAACAGAATTTGATTTTGGATGGTAGATAAACCATTCAGAACCAGACTGCAAAAACTGACATAAATAATTGATCCTTTTAAAATGTAGGTTCTAGTGGACCAGTATTAAGAGCAAGGTCCTGACTATCATTGAATTTCATCACGCCTTTCTCGACAAGTGAGATTCAACCTGAGTAACTATCATAACAGGAATTAGTCAGAGTCAGAATCTTTGTAATCTTAGCAAGATTATGGACAACACTAAAACCGAAGAGAATTGTAAGAATTGTAATAGCAATATTCCCCCATGGCCACGGCCTTCAAAACAAATATCTATGTTGGCGATGCACAGGTGCATTGTGCTGTCTATGGTCTGATGGCACCCTCTCTTGGGACAGGGCTTCAAACCTTTTTCCAGTTGTGACTCTTTTCACCTGAGAAATCTTTATGCAACCCCAGGAATATACTGTATGTATGTAAAAGAACTTCTTCCTTTAGTCAACTTCACCCCCTCCCTTTTCTCCTCCTCTACTTGTATGCATCTCTCCTGCCTCTGTCAAAAGGATCCCCTTCCTTCTTTTTTCTCCTCTTCTGCCCATATGCATCTCTGCCTTTTCTCAAACGGGATGCCCCCATTCTTATTCTTTTCCTCCACCCATATGTATCTTTCCTGGCTTTTCTCAAATGGAATGCCTCTTCCTTTTTCTCCTCCTCCTCTACCTATATGCATTTTTCTTTCTTTTCTCAACCCATGACATGCCAGGCTGTCTTGGCCCTGTCCCTTTCCATTAGCTCAGCTGCTTTCTCCTCCTTTGGCAGCAACAGTGCCTCTGACAGCAGTATGTGTGAAAAAGATCTTGGAGTCCTCGTGTACAGCAAGTTAAACATGAGCCAACAATGTGTTGCGGCGGCAAAAAAATCCAATGGGATTTTGGCCTGCATCAATAGGAGCATAGTGTCTAGATCTAGGGAAGCAATGCTACCCCTCTATTCTGCCTTGGTTAGACCACACCTGGAATATTGTGTCCAGAGGAGGGCGACTAAAATGATCAAGGGCCTGGAGAAGAAGCCCTATGAGGAGTAGCTTCAAGAGCTGGGCATGTTTAGCTTGCAGAGGAGAAGGCTGAGAGGTGACATGGTGGCCATGCATAAATATGTGAGGGGAAGTCATAGGGAGAAGGGTGCAAGCTTGTTTTCTGTTGCCCTGGAGGACTAGGAAACGGAACAATGGCTTCAAACTACAGGAAAGGAGATTCCACCTGAACATGAGGAAGAACTTCCTAACTGTGAGAGCTGTTCCTCAGTGGAACTCTCTGCCATGGAGAATGGCGGAGGCTCCATCTTTGGGGGCTTTTAAGCAGAGGTTGGATGGCCATCTGTCAGGGGTGCTTTGATTGCAATTTTCCTGCTTCTTGACAGGGAGTTGGATTGGATGGTCCAACTCTATGATTCTATGACATTGCATGGAAGATGGCTGAGGGACATGGACAGGCTGGTCTATCAGTCTCTTCAATGGAAGGACAGAGTGTAGGAAGAGCTGCTGTCAACGCACAGGTTACAGGTAGCTGCAACTGTGACTCCTCTAATCTTATGATCAAATTGTCCATGACCCTGACCACTCACCTATGTGACCCCATTTGGGATCATTGAGAATCCAGAAGACAAAAGAGGAAATTCAGAAAAAAATGATGCTAGAAACGTTGGTAACAAGGCGAGTGTTAATGTGAAGTTGAACAAGGAGGCAAATCAGAAGACTCGGGGTGAATAAGAGAATGTCTAATATGACTGTGGGAAATAATGAACAAAATTTACATCTATCGGGACCAAGCCTCTTTGTCTAGCCCCAAATTGACTACAAGGGCTAAAAAGCCTGTTCTGAGAAAGCTAATGAGCAGATAATATTTCACTAGAGAATTCTCTGTCATCTCTTAATTTTTTCTTGTTGGACCTTTTTCACTCCTGTGTGGAACAGCCTGTTGTCAAAGGCACCTCAGGCTGGATGTTAGCACCATGAGAAGCTGTTGATATGGATGAAATTGTTTAATAGAATAGTTTAGAGGCAACTGTTACTTAATATGTCAGGTACCCCATCTCATGTAAACATCTTTTAAATGTCAAATGAACTGACAATCCAGATGTATTTAGCGGTGAAAAAGATTGAGGCCTGGTCGATACAGAAGCAGATGAAAAAGTCTTAGCAGAAACCAACAAGGCGTATTTATATAAAAAATATCTTGAATTGGAAAATCAATTCTTCTGTGCTTGAGGGGTGAAGGTTTTGCAATGAACACAAGATCCGATATTGTGACCTTTTTGTAGGTACAAAGGCACCAGGAATAGCCATCCCATACAAAGATCTTAGACTTGAAAGTAGTGCATATTAAATAGTTCCAGAAGCAGCTGTATGTCACTGAAAGAAGATAGATTATATAACAAGCAAGAATCTGAGTGAATGGAGCCAACGCAAACATCCATCCAAATCATAGTCCAAGACATCAATCCCAAAACCATAGAAAATTCAAAAACCATAGAGCAAGAACCAAAGCAAAGTCATAACCCAAAAATCAGGGTGCCTCAGCCCCACAAGGGAATGGGACTCTTAAGTGTGGCTGGAGACAAAAACCTTATGTGAAAGCTATAGAAGATTCCAAACACTCCGCAGGTACAGATAACCCATCTGCGGGGGTCACAGAGACCACAAAGAACTGCTGAATGAGAGTGTAGTATTCAAGCTTGTCACAAGGAAATACCTTGCAGGGCTGAATCAAAACAATAGAGCACACCCAAATGACAGGAGAATTCAATTCTTACTCATTCAAACCAAGTAAATTACAGAAAAACATTTGGGGGAAGAAAGATTAAAGGATGCTAAGGAAATAGCTATACTATTTTTCAATTGTGCTGATTCTCAAAACAGCTAATGATACAGTGATATTTACAGGCAAAAATTTACTTGCATTGGGGTCAGCAACTCTAATCTCTGAGAGACAAAAAACGAAGTAGTAAATGAAACGAAGTACGCACATGAAAACATAATTTGATCATTCAACCAAAAAAAGACAAAGGTGATAGGTCTTTGGATCATTTTATGGGTCATTCTAATATGAGTAATTTTAAAAAAGAAAATTTCTGGACAAAATAACTAACGTTGGGCAGTTTATTGCCAGTCACTTAGTAGCAGCTGCATTTTCAACAGTCCTAGAAAATGATTACTGATTAACCACAGGGAGTTGCATTACTATTTGTTTATGTGAGAATTATAACAATCTAAATTGAAGGAAGATTGCGTTGTCAACAACACAGTCCTCCCATTTCTTTCAAGCAAGTTTATGTTTCTAGCTATATCCTTCTTCCTTCTCTACTACAAAACATTTCATTTATCAGTAACAGAACTTCATATGAAACTCCTACCACTTGAATTAGTAGTACCACAAACACTCCTTTGTGAGCACTAAATCCAACCAAGCGTATGCACATACAAATTCTTACCAAGTGAGCAATTGCTTTGCATTCTACCATCTGTTGAACAACGCAGCATAGTACCCACTACACGGCCTCCTACCACGATGACTCGCACATCTTTGCCATGGGATTCCTGGACGTATTTTTGGAATAGGTAAGGGGCCTCATGACGAATAAGGTGGCTCAAGTCTGCCAAATGGTGCTTGTCTCTTGCCAGAAACACAGCTTTACCTGCATGAAGAGAAAAGGGTGAAAGAGGATTAGGGATCGTTCACATCTTTGTAAAAGGATAGAAAAAGTAGCGTATCTACAAAATCTCATTCTCAGTGCTTGCATACACTGGGGCAGCACTGGCATATGAATGAAGACAAATAACATTTTAAAGCACTTTGCACATTTAGTGCTATAAAAATATTAAAATTTGAAAAACATTACCTTAAAGCAAACTCACAATTTCCAACGCTTATTCCAGTTCTCAACTCCCTCAGTATAGGTCTGTCAGTATCCTTCAATCTTGGCCTGTACCATTCCGTGCTATTCTAGTAGTACTAGGTTGCAAGAGAGTTTTGCAACTGGTTTTGGGTTCTCTAAATACACAAAACAGAGGGCTGCACCAATCACAGTCCAAAGATGACAAGAGATTCCAAGGTTCTGTGTATTACTAAGTGATGAACCAAAAATAAACCCAATTCAGTGGTAATTGCCAGTTACAAATTCTTAGTACAATGGAAAAATATTTAAAATCCCTGCCAAAATATGAAGTCTGCAGTATAAATATTTCAACAATTCTTTATTTAAATATTTAATATCATTTAGATGTAAATTTCATTTAACTGAATACCGCATCTAGAAATGTACCATTTGCATTATAATTGTAATTTAAACCATTCATGGCAGTCCAAGAGGATTGCTTATATCAGTGGTATGTCTTTACAGTAATTACGTACTGGGGAAAGCAACCCTCATTATCCCTTTTCCCTACTTTTCCCCCAATTATGCTTTAATTGAGACATTTAATCTATATTTCTGTGGAATTGATACAAAACTGATACAATAAAAGCCAGGTCTTTTAATGATTGGTAAGATAAGCAAGCAATTATTTTTAAAACCTTTACACCAGGGAATTTGATGTATCCACTCTGTATTTCAATAAAACCATATTCCAAAAAGGCTTAAATGTTAAACTTATACTTCCTTATAACTTCCCAATGAAGAGTTATTCATCAGTAGTAAGAAGGCCCTTGTAGACTGTTCCTTTAATGACTTTTGACAAAAGCAATTTGGGAAGGCGGTAGCATAGCTCTATTGTTATGTTCAGCCACTGTGATATCTCTTATGAAAGTCAACCACTTCTTTTGAAAGGTTTCATAAATCAAAAATAAGAATAGTGAAATAATGCCATTTGGTAAATTTAGTTGGCAAGATCACAAGGTTGTTCTTGGTGAGAATTTTGTTTGACAGGAGAATTGACAGATATTCATAAAGTAATGAGCAGCTCCAGTCCTGAAGAAAGACTTTTCTAAATAATTTCAAACTTGGCCAATGATCAAGCAAAATATTGTGCAAGAGGTATGACAAGGCGGTAAAAAGATCTGTCTATGGTATGCCACAGAGCTGGAACAAGGGCTTGAGTACTCTAGAACCAAGCATCATGTAAGGATGAAAGCATCTTTTCAACTGATAGAGATTATGTTCATAATGTCTTGTCTTCCAGAATATGTATGCATATTAACCAAATCCTTTAGGCATTACATCAGTTGTATAAGTGCAGCATCAAAGAAAGCCAAGATGTCTGGATGCTACCTTGCTTGTTGAGTTGATGAGATGTAGTGTTCTCACCAACTGGATTGTGTGTCTTTATAAAATAGATTCACCTGCTTTAGAACAGTTAAAAGTTCTAAAGCAATAATATGCTTTTGTCTCACTTCATATGATATTTTTTGAGGTTGGCAAAATAACTGCAATGAGCTTCCCATGCAAAAACGGCTCATCCATGGCGACAACCAAAAACATTCTCTGCTGTCAAAAAGATGTTCTAAAAGTTATGCTGGAAAAACCACCAATGAAGTGAATCCTGTACCCACAATGGTTGACAGAACTTTAGGTGAGATTGGTTGCAGCTCCCACACAGAACAATGGCTATCATGAAGGCCATGAGAAGGACTTCATGTCCCTCAGTTCTAGTATGGGTCATAACCCATGACTTTGTGAAGGTTGGGTTACTTACCTGTAACCATGTTTCTTTGAGTGGTCATCTGTGAAATTTGTATGTATGGGTCTTGTGCACCGGTGCAAGACAGCTCAGAATTCTCTATAGCTTGAAGAAACTCTTGGTGGTAGCCCCGCCTACCCTGCCCTGGAGGATACAACCATCTGGTGGGGCTAGCACCTCAGTTCCTCAGCGGATATGACAGCAGCTTACAGAAACCGAGGCAAACAGCAGGAAAGATGGGTGGGGATATATTAATTTCACAATGTCCACTCAAAGAAACATGGTTACAGGTAAGTAACCCAACCTTCTTTGTGGTCTCTGTGAAATCTCTGTGACTAGCAAGCTCCCCACCTTGGAGGAGGGAGTCATGTCATACAGGAAACAAGCACAGCTCTACCAAAGGCAGCATCCCTCCTGGAGAAGCCATCCTGCTTACAGTGGGAAACGAAGTGAGTGGGGTCGGCCATGTTGATGGCAAGCAAAACATCTTCAGGGGAACTCCATGCAGGAAGGCCTGAAGGTTGCTGAATGACCCAATTTGGGATGGAAGGTGTCTGTCTGCGAGCTGGCAAGCCAACCGGTACATTAAAATTATCAAAGAAGAAAAACATTGTGAGAAGAAGGGCAACAATGGAAGTGTTGACACCAGTGCCTGTTGCTGGCCAGGAAAAAATGGAATGGGGATTTTGCTCTCAGGTACCAGTCGTCAAGATAGAGGAAGACATACCGCTTCAGCAAAGCTGGGCCGTTACTACCAACATATATCTTGTGAAGACCTTTGGTGCCATTGCATGTCCAAAGGGAAGGACATTGAACTGGTAGATCTGGGGACTTAGCTTGAAGGAGAGGAACCTTCTGTGCAGTGGATGGATGCTGACATGGAAGTAGGCGTCATGCAAGTATATTGTAACACACCAGTCTCCTCTGGCAAGGAGAGGAAGGACAGACAACACTGACACCATTCTCAACTTCTTTGGCAACAGGAAGGAGTTTAGGTCCTGAAGGTCGAGTATCGGGTGGAGGCTGCAATCTTTTTTAGGAATGGTGAAGTACCTTGAGAAGAAACACAGTGTCTTCAGTCGAAGGAATTGGTTGCATGGCGCCCTTGAGAATTAGGGTTTAGACGTCTTCCTGTATTGCATGTGACAGGTGAGTTTGGAGGACCCTTCTTGTCGGGGGGGGGGGTGGTCCTTGAATTCTAAGGCATAGTCTTCTTGAAGAACATTGAGGACCCAAGCATCTGATGTCATACTGTGCCACACATCCATGTAGCTGGCTAAGTGGTCCCAGAAGGGATAGGGTTCGATATCGACAGTGGGTGTTGAGATGGAGTGTGGGAGTGAGACTGGAATGGGGTCGGCAGTGGTAGACAGCAAGGAGGCAGTTTCATCACCTCGATTGTCAAATCTGATGTTTTATCCGGTTGTTAGATAACCTTCGTTGGTGTTTCTGGCCGTTACTGAAGGAAGGTTGCCTCTGCCATTGTTGTTGCGGAGTGGACAACTGTCTATATCAGGAGTCCTCAAACTAAGGCCCGGGGTCATTTACCCGGCCCTCGCTCAGGGTCAACCTAAGTCTGAAACTACTTGAAAGCACACAACAACAATCCTATCTCATCAGCCAAAAGTAGGCCCACACTTTCCATTAAAATAGTAGTAAGTTTATATTTGTTAAAATTGTTCTTCATTTTAATTATTCTATTGTTTTTAAGCGTTTTTTGCACAACAAATAAGATATGTGCAGTGTTTAGAGGAATTCACTCATGTTTTTTTCAAATTATAATCCGGCCCTCCAACAGTTTGAGAGACTGTGATCTGGCCCTGTTTAAAAAGTTTGAGGACCCCTGGTCTATATTGTTGCTGCCTGTAGTAAGGCTGGTTCGGCCCCCTGTAGCAGAGTGAATATCACTTTGTCCTCTGAGTGTGTTATTATGGCTGAACTCCACATTTTGCTGCTAGGGTCTTGAACTCATGATTGGACTGGAGTTTCTCGTCCATTCCTGAGTTAAAGAGTCCAAGTGAATCAAACGGTAAGTTCCTGATGATTTGCCTCGAAGCAGTTGATAGACCAGAGCAGCAGGGCCAGGTGTGTCGACGTATGGCTACAGCATGGGGTAACATCTTGCCTACTGTGTCTCTGGTGTGCTTTGCCATCTGACTTTGGTGATGAGGACGCTTCTTTTCTTTAAGTGTTCAATACTGTCCTATCTTCATCTGAGAGTTCCTCATGGAAGATTTGAGCCTTTCCCCACAGCATTTCTTGATATGCTCATTTAAGGAACGCTTCTTGGTTCTTCTGGGCTTGGGGTGAGAGTTTAGTACCATCTTCATCACGAGCCTTCCCTAAGCAAAGCAGACACATTAAGAGACCACCAGTCTGGAAGCCTTCCTCCATGTGCCACACATTGTTTTAAAAGGGCAGATACCATGATAGAAAGTATGGGAAGTACAGTTTCGGAGTAAGTCCAAAATTTAGTGTACTCACACTATTAGTGCAAGTGAAGCACAGAAAAAAAAACCATGAAGTAGGAATTAACTGAAGAGAAGTCAAATAATTGAAGGTGACTACAAAAGGAAACTACAGTAGGTAAAACAATCAAACACTTAATAAGATAACTTCTCTAAGAGAAAATCCTTGCTGCTGTTAACACTGCGGATGAAAAGGAACTGAGGTGGTAGCCCGACCTGATGGCTATATCTGGCAGGATGGGCGGGGCTACCACCAAGAGCTTCTTAAAGCTATAGAGAATTCAATTCAAAGTTGTCTTGCACCTGCGCACAAGAACCATGTGTGTGATTTCACAGAGGCCACAAAGAAGAAACAGAAAATTATCTGGAGAAGTTCCCAGTCTTTTGAAGGCACTGAGCGGACTAGACTGCATGTTCATCAAAGCGTTAGAATTTTTAGAACTAAACTTTGATGTGTACGAAATCCTGTACACAGATATGGCAGTAAGTTGTCAAATTCAGTGGTATACCCATTTTGGAAAGAGACAGAAATTATTTATTGAAGAAAGTGTAATCTTCACAAGATTACACCTAATGCTCTAGATCTCCCCTTTATTCCTCTTTTTGAAAAAGATGACACTGATGCACAAGAATATGACTCTTCTTTATTACCTCCTGTTACTATTGATTCTTCCTCAGATGCCCTAGTGCAATGGTTCCCAAGAACTAAAATATGGTCCACGGCCTCACCATTACTACACCATTGCAACGAGAGCGACTGATCTCGTGAAACCCTCTTAGATTGCCAAAGCTTATTAAATATGGTTTTCTGTGGGCAAGCAGATGGTGACTGCTGCATGGCATATGTTCTGTATCAGAAACTAGAGCTGATTTGGTCTATCCAATGCAATTTTCTCAATCATCACCCCAAATAATCAAATTGAATCTAAAATTGACCAAAAACCAATTCGTAACCCTTTTATTACTAATGTTGGAGAGTGGTCCCTGGTCATTAAAAGGTTGGGAACCACTTTCCTACTGGCTGATAAATATCCAGTTCCTTAAGACTGACATTATTCTGTCATTTGTAGATCAGTTGATATGTATGACTATGTACTGTTAATTGACCTTGACCTTGGTTTGCTTTCAAAACGATGTAAACCAAGACTGCTGCTCCTATGTGCATCTTGAAACTCCCACATCTTTTACATGTTCCTGAGAAGCTAGTTTCCATTCCTTTGATATAGGCCATTTTGTATTTGTACTGTGTCCAAGATAAGGTAAGGGCTGTTTTTTATTTACATATCCAACCCCTATTTTTTAAAAAAGAGGATACAGCCACCTTTAGAAGAAAAGAAAAGCATCAATCCTTAAGCAGAAAACCAAACTATTTTCACTGTGCAATGCCTACACAAACACCTGAGAAACAACTTTAAGACTGGGAAAGAGACCAGTTTCTGCTGATTGCAGGTTGGAACTGTATCCAGGAACAGAGTATCCATGGCTAGACAGCCCTGGAAAGTGAGCTTTTAAAAAAAAAATACTGTAGTCCATGAGATGCACTGAAGCACTGCAGATGATGAGAATATATTCCAGTTTTGGGCCCTCATGGGATGTACTATGCAGCACATTATCTGGCTTGTTCTGCACTTCCTGATGAGTTTTTTAATGCACTGTTTCTGGCTTGATTTGTGCTAAAGTGTGTACATTTGTGGATGCCCCAGCCTGGAGTTGGCTTTGAACTACATTATAGTGTCTGTGTAGTACGACCCAGGATTAGCAGATGAGCAGGAACAACAGGAGCAACAGAATTTAGGATTAAAGGCCAGATTTCTAAAAGCTCATGGCTTCAAATCTAGAGACCTGATTGTGCCCTTCTGCTTTCTCTTTTCGCTTTATGATTACAAAGCTGCACCTTGAAGCACAGATTCAAATATGTCCCATTTCCCATGGTTTTTGCTACTTCTGCTATTCTAGCTGGCCAATTATCCAAAATCATTAGGATTATTTAAATAAACATCCAGGCGTCCCCTGGGCAATGTCCTTGCAGACGGCCAATTCTCTCACACCAGAAGCAACTTGCAGTTTCTCAAGTCGCTCCTGGCACAAAAAAAAAATAATGCATCAGGTCAATTACTGCATACTGCCCTAGATGTTATGTATTATACTGGATGAAATGTTCTGGGCCATATGTGGACCCACATGATTCTTCAAAGGGAAGGATGGCAGCAAGAGACTGGCACTCTGCCCCATGCCAACTAGCTCCAATGAATTGAAATTAAAAATGAAGGTACCACCTAATTTTAAAAACAACAGAAGTTCACCCTTTTGAAGACATCCGAGATATCTACACAATATATTTTTATCTTATACTGCTTGATCAGGAACTAATATTTTGTTTATGCCAAACCCTTCAACAATGCTCAATTTATTTTGCTTAAATGATTAGGTTGTTCAGATACTACCTGCCAATTTGAGAAACTCAAATAGATCATCATTTAAATTTTTATTTAACAAAAGAAAACACTATGGCATATCGAGGAGCTGTATGAACTAGAGAAGAGGACAAATGCCATGGAGGATATGGCATTTTTGCTTTTGTGGCATGGGGTAGGGGATAGAGGAAAGTCATTTCTGGGTACTATTATAAGAAATTCCAAGTTGCACTATCTGCCTGATCCTTGTTCAAGTTTACTGGAAAACAGAGAGAGGAAAGTTAAAGGAGATAAAAATGATCAATTAACCAATATTTTACCAGCAATTCGAACAGAAGGGTTAGAAGCTGAAGAAACAATTAGATTATATGTGGAGATACCACACATAGTGGAATTATGGCAGGATTAGAAGTTTCAAGTTCTGTTTGATATCAGATTAGTATGAATAACTTATCAGCTCCCATTTTGTTTTATGTTGACTGAGGTTGTTTTGTTTGTACATGTGAAAAAACTTAAGAGTTTGGTTTTGCATCAAATGACTGAATATAAACTGATCACTTAAATACAACATTTAAACTCTAAAGTGAAATGTTATTGATTTGGAGGCTTTTAAGCAGTGGCTGGATGGCCATCTGTCGGGGTTGCTTTGAATGCAAATTTTCCTGTTTCTTGGTAGGGAGTTGGGTGGCTCATGAGGTCTCTTCCAACTCAATAATTCCATGATTCTATACTTTCAGCCAAATTTAATATTTTTTGGGCAGTTGAAGAAAAGATATTTTAACTTCTCTTATTATTAGAACAATTAAATCTACCAAACACAATTCCAATGGGGAATCAGTATTCACTGGTGTTTGGTTCCAGGACCCCTTGTTGTGGATACCAAAATCCGTGGATGTTCAAGACCCATTATATACAATGGTTTGGTAAGACATCATCCCTTAAATACAATGTCAAAATCAAAGTTTGCTTTTGGGGTTGGATTTATTTATTTATTTGTTTAGGCAATATTTTTGGCCATAGATGGGTGAATCCATGTACATATAATGGCTATAAAGTCAACTGTCTGTGGTTTTTCTTTCTGGATATATATCTAAACTATATAAACCACAGACCAATAAATACAGAAAAGTTTAGTAAGGAAATTTAGGTGAGCAAGGAGTGACATTTCTACTTCCCTTAACAACTCACATCATTTTGGGGTAAGACTAAATTTAAATTCTGTGTATATCAAGCTAGTTCGCTTTCTAAAATAGTCAGAGTACTCTGGACAAAGGACAGTTGTTATGCAGCAATCTAGCAATTACAAACAGATTTTTATACCAACCTCTATGACCACGTGTGTTCTTCACAACCATGGGAAATTCCAGCACTTCGGCTTCATCAATCATTTTGGCAAAATTTTCATGACCTCCTGGTAATCAAAAATAAGTACAATGTTGTTATCCCAGGAACCAAGCATCTCAAGTCCTATCCAGCACCAGCTAGTTCTAAAGACCAAAACAAGGATTAAGGAAGACAATGTGGAATTTCATTCATTATCATGCCACATTTCAAATTTTATTTATTTCATTCTTCAGAAATTTTCAGAGTGGCAACATTCCCTCCCCTGTTTTCTATCCCTTAAAATATTCCCAAAAAGTTATCACTGCATGAAACCCAGCATTGGATGACAACTGAAAAGACTGTCAAATTTGGAAGCATTAAATCCTTATATTTGCAAATTACAGACTTGCTTTTCATATGATATATATAATATCTGAATCCAGAAGCTACCTGGCTTTATACTAACATCACTAAATTAAAAGAGTTCTCCTTTTTTCCCCACTCCCCCTTTTCTAACTTTAAAAGAAGCACATCAGACAGCCCACTCCTATTTTCCCACATACTTTTCTCTCAGAAAACTTAATGGGAAACCCTGTTTTCTAGTTCTTTAAAAATGTTCAAGTTATGACAGTCCCAACTTTTTTTGCTTTTAAGAAGGGCCAAAGGGTCTGCATCCAGAGCAGTGGAAGGTGGTGACATGATTGGGCAACAGCATAGCCTTCCAAACCATTTTGAATAACGTCATGGTGATGAATCTCATTGAAAAGTATCAATTAAGTCTTCTTCCAATACCTCCTCTGTTCAAGGAAGATAACTGAGAGCAGGAAAATCAAGAAAAGGCACTGAAACAATACCCACAGACAAATGTACTGCTTATTTCTGAAGAGTTTATAAAGGTTTCTTGATCCATTGTGAATGGCCCCCCTGCTACCCAGTTTTCTTTGCTTCTAACACTCCTCATCAATTTGCAATTTTAACTTGAAATTCAACAAAGTAATCCTGTATCTCAATCAAAAGCACTGTTAAATTTTGAGGCATCAATCACATTGTTCCAGCGAGTTATGGCTGCCACAAAGAGACAAATATGCAGACGTTGTATTAGTATAAATATCAAAAGCAAACTTTCAATTTTTTATTTTGGTATATTGTTCTGATATTTTAGAATGGAGGGTGGGCTAATACTTCTGTCACTAATTTTAAAATATCCACTTGGCCTAGGTCAGCACATGTACGGCTTCATCTACCTTTAAAAAAGAAATAATGCTGGCAGGCATCAGCATGGGTGACACTTCTCTCCAAAGAAAAGAAGGGTTAGTTCATTAGTCCTCAATGAACTAAACTAACAGTTTGTCTCATTACTAAAAAGCAAAATGGCTGTAAGTCATTTTTCTTTCTCTCCATATCCTCTGTGTTTTACAGTCAAAACAAAACCTGCAGGAGCCACAACTCTTGTTTATACAGTAATTTCTACTTTTAGGAATGTGGTTCTACTTGTTTAGAATTACTTTACCTTTTAAAAATTGGACAGCACTGGAAGTAACTAGCCTGCAAAACTCGTGTGTGTGTAAATGGGCCACCATAATACAAATATTAGCAAACCAGGGAAAATATGGACCTTGTAGGACTAAATTACTTAAATGCCATGGTATCAAAAAACAGATCTTGTCATTCTTGTATGAGTTTCTGAAACTGATCCTGCAGGTCAAAACAGAATCAAGACATCAATGTTTCTCTTAAAAATCTGCTGTGTGTGCAGCGCAGCTCGTGCCCATTCCCACCTGCTCAAATTCTGCAGGATTTAAAGCATCGCATGTAAACTTAATAGAAGCTAGATCTTAAACCCCCCAGTAATAGACATCTCCGCACCCTATTCCGGGGACACGTGGGGCTTGGGACTGCAATGTATACACAAGCTGCCCTTTCCAAACCCCAGGTTTTATAGCATAAGGTGAAATTTTTATTTGCTCACCCATTTCAGAATACTTCATAATTGGATTTAGTATTGTTTTATTGCTTTACCAGATTTCAGTTATTTTTGCATTAGCACCCATGTTTATTGTTTCTTTCACACTGTTGTATGTGGCAGTTAGAATATCATTTCAAAACAAAATAGCCTCTAGCCCACTATTCCCATACAACTGGTTTGTCAAAGATTTGGTTAATGTTTTAATGTAGCACCAGAATATGTTGCCAAATTTTTTCCACATATATGGATACGAAATTAATTTTTGTTGTTGCATTTTTTTTCTTTGTATACTTGATAACAAGCTTAGCAAATCTTCATCTACTTCTCATGCACCTTTTTGTTTTAAAATATTCTTATCAAATAGAAAACCTTCAGCATTCCAAAGAGTTGTAAAACAATAGTAATTACTAGAAATAAGAATCAGACATTTTGCAGACTTTGGTGTGTTTTTATATTCAAATGTATATAGGATCACGCAAAATATATATGTATCAATTCTATGCATAATCCTGAGAAGAGTAATGATTTCAGTCTGCTTTCCCAAATTTGATATTCTCTAGGATTGTTTGGCTACTGCTCCCACCTGGTAGGATGACAGCTGTATTCCCACCCATAAGAAGGCATCAGATAAGGAATGCTGCTTTCAAAACAAAGTATTCTACTTATTTTGTACTCAAGTTTCCTCTTTTGTAAGGCAAGCAGAGATATGTTTTGTCTCAGTGGAATGCTTGAATTCTGTTTTTCTTGGTTATAATACATGATATAACAGATGGGAGATATTGAGTATTAGACAATTTATCAGGCAGTAAATGTTGGAATGGCAGCTTAAATCATTACTACACTCCAAGAACTGTGAGAATTGGTGTGCTTGTCTTCAGCATTCAAATGAATAATATAACATAGCTGCTCCTGTGTAATCTATCAATAATTAAACTGTACATGATTTCTAGTTTTTAAAAAAATCCTTCAGGATACCATTTCCTCAACTTTCCAAAGTCTTAGGAGATGTGCACTCACTATGGAACATTATTTAAATTTAAATTCAATGACTTACCATAGGAAAAGGTGTCTGGAAGAGGCACACCATGTCCAGCCAGCTCTTGGAAAGTCCAGAATTTATTGACACAATTGAGTATGGCTTGAGGACGGTTCATCAGACGGCAACCCATCTTTTCTAGATGGCGAAGAACTGTAATGTCACTGTCACTTTGGACCCATGGTGTTGGCACACGAACAACCACTACCTGTGGATAAGCTGTGATGAGTTCCCCATTGACTCGGAGACCTGTAAAAAAGGGGAAATGGTATGGCAATCTGATGTAAACCAGATCAAAATCCCAACAGGAAATACAGAAACACCACTTGTTCAACCAAGCCATCTTCCTATCTACCATATGTGACAATTAGTAAACATGGTATTTATTCATCTCTCATGCACCTGAATAGTCCAAACTAACATTTTTTTTACATGTAAATTTTTCATTACTCTGAGAGTCCCTGGTGTGGTGCTCATCTAATCTGAGATCATCAAATTTCTAATCCAAATATCCAATATCCAAGCGAAGTGAAAGACTAGTTAGTTGCTTCAGGTCTGCTTATTGGACAAAGACTGCTTTGATCATTTTGTTGTTGTTCATTCGTTCAGTCGTTTCCGACTCTTTGTGACCTCACGAGTCAGCCCATGCCAAACCTCCGTCGGCCGTCACCACACCCAGCTCCTTCAAGGTCAAGCCAGTCACTTCAAGGATGCCATCCATCCATCTTGCCCTTGGTCGGCCCCTCTTCCTTTTTCCTTCCATTTTCCCCAGCATCGTTGTCTTCTCTAAGCTTTCCTGTCTTCTCATGATGTGGCCAAAGAACTTCATCTTTGCCTCTAATATCCTTCCCTCCAATGAGCAGTCCAGCTTTATTTCCTGAAGTATGGACTGGTTGGATCTTCTGGCGGTCCAAGGCACTCAGAACTTTCCTCCAACACCACAGTTCAAAAGCGTCTATCTTCCCTGCTCAGCCTTCCCTATGGTTCAGCTCTCACATCTGTGGGTGACTATGCGGAATACCATTGTTTAACTATGCGGATCTTGGTTGCCAGTGTGATGTCTCTACTCCTCACTATTTTATCGAGATTGGTCATTGCTTTCCTCCCAAGAAATAAGCATCTCCTGATTTCCTGGCTGCAGTCTACGTCTGCAGTAATCTTTGCACCTAGAAATACAAAGTCTGTCACGGCCTCCACGTTTTCTCCCCCTCCTTCCCAGTTACCAATCATTCTTGTTGCCATAATCTTGGTTTTTTTTATGTTTAGCTGCAACCCAGCTTTGATCATAAAGGTAAATAATAGTGACACTTAATCCAGATAAAATAAACAATGTGCTTGTGCGCTGGGAGGCACATAGAGAAGAGGGACTGAGACTGTGCTGGATGGCATTATGCTGCATAGAAAAACTCAAGTTTGCTGTTTGGGTATACTTTTGGATTCAGCCCTGCATTTTTCAGAAATGTCTAAGATACATTTACATGGTTACAGCTGGTACATTAACAGCTCCTGTTCCTTGAGATGTTTGATCTGACTACCACTAGCACATTATACTTACATACTGTTTAGACCAGTGGTTCCCAACCTGTGGTCTATGGATCACCTCTGGTCCGCATGGCCTCACTCTTACTAACCAAACCAAATCTAAAGTTGACCAAAAACTGATTTGTAGCCCTCTTAGTACTAATGTTGGAAAGTGGTCCCTGGTCAAAAAAAAAAAAAAAAAGGTTGGGAACCATTCCTGGTTTAGACTATCCAGCTGAATCTTTTGGAAAATCGTTAAAAAGGAAGACTTTATGGAGACCTCCTTCAATATTATTTAATGATTTCTGGAGAATGCCACTTTTGAACCTGCTGAAGTGACAGAGAAGCTTGGTCACTACAGCTGCATTCTCACACTACTCCCTTTCTTTTCTGAACAGAGAGAAACAGGAACATGTCTGCCACTTAGAAACTATACCAACTTTTCTCTGGTAGAAGAAATATAGGAAAAATAAAGAGAATATTGATGCTTGTTATGTCAGGAACATACCACCCCCAATAAAGAAGAATAATTAAAAGGTATGTTTTCATCTACTTATTGCTTTACATAATTTTAATGTATTTATCTTAATTTCTATCATACAGCCTGACTTGAGTCAGGATGATGAAGTAATCTGAGAATTTAACTACAGCACTGTAGATTAGGGTTCAAAACTCTACTCAGCCATGGAAGCCCACTGGATAACTTTCAGTAAACTACATTCTCTCAGCATCAGAGAATGAAAATAGACAAATCTTGCCAAGAAAATTCTGCAAGTTTCATCTTAGGATAAATTGGAAATGATTTCAAGGCACACAACACCCAAATATCTCATACTACAGAATTATACTAAATAATCAATAAAAACTGCTTATTTTTATGGGAAAGGACAAAGTGAGAGGAGATAGAAAATAACCTGTTTCGATATTCTTTTTATGCCTCATGAAGTACTTTCCTCAGTCAGAAGATGGGAGACAGAGTAATGGCAAGTCTTTTTTTTATTTTTACTACGAATAATTTTCCTTCTAAGGCATTTTACAGCCATGAAAAATGTGACTAAAAACATGCAGTCTTTTCTTTTGAAAATATTTTCTGTTCTCGTGCTGGATTACGAGTTCCAACAAAACCGTACCTGCTGCCAGGCAAGAAAACTTTGGAATACCCCTCCTCTTTATATCTTAGCAACTTGAAAAAAAACTTACAGACAAAAGGCGCAATTCCCGATATGATCATTGCCTCTCCCACCATACTGGAAAAATTATTGCCGTTTCTCCCGTTTTCTTGTCACTCTGGATACATGACAGAACTCACTTTGTAGAAGAGATAAAAGGCCCTACATGCAGCTTATGATCTGCTTTGTTGTGCCCATCCAGATACTTTTTCGTCTCCTGCTTAAAACAGACTATCAAGCCAATCCATATGCTGCCTCTTGCGAAATCCTAGATTCCAATAATTTTACTAAAAGAGCTTTAAAAGGCAGTCACTGCTACAGCACACTTCATTAGTTAAAGGAAATCACTGCCGCATTGCAGCTGATATGCTTATAAGCAGCTGTGGCTACAGAGATGGAGATTATTTCAAAGCAAATTTCCAAGCACTCTCACAATACAAAATATGACATTAAATGGAAAAAAATTAAGAGTGCAAAATAGGAACACCTAGTCATGAATCATTTCTACTTTAAATGACTGAATGCTTTTAAAGTAGTTCTTTAAGAGAGAGAAATGCTATTAGTTCCCTGCAGCCCTGCAATCAGTTTGAGGGATCCTTCTGAGTGTTGGAAAGGTAGCTATGGGGGGAGAAATCTCACTTCGTATCTTCCACTGACGTTAGTGTCCACTCTATTTTGACTGCAGGGGCACACTAACTAGATACAATATATGCAATTTTGTTAAGATTTATATGGTTAGTCTGCACGCTCTTTTAGCGTGTCTTAAAAATGAAAGGTGCCATAAATGTTAATTAAATGTTATAAAGGTGTTCTGAAGCAGAACTTGGCATGGGTCAGAGCTTCTAAATAACTAGTTAACTAATTTCTCAATTTACTACCTTGTTGGATTAGGTTTTTTTTAAAATTCATTCAATTTCTCAATGAATGCTTAAGTTAATTGTATGAGCTAATATATTATAATGTATGGATCTTCCTCTGGGAAATCTAGTACAACAGAAAAATCTAGGGGAAAGGAAAACTGAAACTGTATGGAATATATCGGTCCCACCTGCGTCACAAGTACGTTTGGCGGGGACGAGAGACAAGGTCTTCTCAGTGATGGCCCCTCAGCTATGGAACGCCCTTCCTACAGATATTAGATCAGCCCCCTCCCTGTTAACATTTCAGAGGAAAGTGAAGACCTGGTTGTTCGAGCAGGCATTTGAAAAGACAGTGTAACGAACATAGGAATATGGAAAAATTGGATGAAGAGACTTGATCTTGATTTTAACTATGAGACGCTAATAAGACGTTTTATTGATTTATAATCGTTTTTAACTGTTTTATGATGTTTTGAGCACTGAATTTTGCTATTGTTAACCACTTTGAGTTGCCCAAGGGCTGAGAAAAGCGGTATACAAATATAGTAAATAAATAAATAGTAAATAAATTACACTGTAGATTGACAGAAGGCGGCAGCAGAAAACCTGAGAATCAACTGAAGAGATGAGACTGGCATCCTATTGAGGAAGAATAGAAAGAAAAAATGCCTAGTATAAAATGGGGCAGGGGACTGAGGTGTTCTTATTCCTTAAGAAGTCGTGGTGCCAGGTTGCTATGTATTTGAAGTGTGATGGAACTGACAACTTTATAATTCCTTTTCATGCTGATGGTGGCTCAGTGTGCTTGACACATCAACAGCTATGTGAAATACTTTCCTTGACCTCACTGTTGCTCCTGAATTCCTATTCCTGGAGAGATTAAAATGTCTACAAGACAAATAAAACATTTCTGGCATATTCCATTCTTAAAAGTAGATGTCAAGTCCTCCATTACCATCATAACCACGGAACTCATATCTGCAGTTTCACTCTAGGTGAGCGGGGGGGGGGGGGGGGGGGGGGGGGGGGTGTTGTGTGCTTAGGAGATTTTCTGGGCAATTATACGATGTACTTCCTCAGAAGTTATTACAGTGATGCCTTGGAAAACCTAGCAAATTTCCATGAAATGCCTCTGCAGGAATTTCTAGGTCCTACAGAATGACCTTATGGTATGCTAATTCAATGTTATCTGGTCAAATTTGTAGTTCTAGGTAGCCACAATTCAACAAGGAACGCATCCCCCACAGATATGGGGGCCTTACTGTATATACTGCCTCCATTAACATTCTGGCACTTTTGTTCTAAAAGAAGTGTTATGTTTCTTTGGGCTGGGTGGGAAGCAATATGTCATTACAATTGTATACCTTGCTTCTTTCTCCTTCAAAACTCCCCCAAATATCAGCAATGCTTTTGCTGTCAAAATCATCAATTTTAACAGAATCACATGCATTTTTCACATGTAGAGCTATTGGTCTCATAATATTGAGCCATTCCTACTGCACAATGTATATCCTCCACTAACTTTATCCCAATCATGATTCTCATGTCAACTAATCAGATTCCATAGAAATCTGATTTCTTGGAAGAAACCATTTCATGGAAGAAGCCATGAAAATGAACAAAATCTGGCTACCAGTATTAAAAAACTCAAAAATTACAACAGCAAAACAACAGAGAGTAGACAATCAGGCACATCAAA